GTACTGTGGTTCGACTCTTCATTTAAAGACAATAGCCGCTGCTCTTGGATAATTGCTTTAGAGCCATGAGGGAAGAAATCTTAAGTAAAATCCACCTGTACCGTCAATTTATATTCACTAGACATTCAACAATATGTTTTTTTTTCAGTCACAGCTATAGCAGCGATTGTTTTTGTTAGATGTCCGAATCAACAAAGGGATGAAAAGTGCATTCATTCACAACTATGAACATTTTGTTCAAATATATTGAACAAATACTCTCAGCGCGCAGTTTTTTCTTCACGTTTTGGTGTTTTTTAAATCGTAGTGCACTACGGAGACCAAACCCAGTATTATCGCTTTCCAGTTTTTCAAGATAGATACGTATCTCGGAACTTCACAATTATTTGACTAATACGAGAAGTGGACGAAGACAAGAAGTATTTTTGGCTGATCGAAGCTTTCTCATAGGTTGTTGATGTCACAAACGACATGTGAAACTACTTCCTGTCACTCTTAAACAAATGTTCACCAGTTGACATATAGCAGGGACGAACAGTTACGTTTCGTAGTTACTTGCTGAACGCCTAAATCAGATGTGATAGGCACATATTGCGGAATTCACTCAATTTTGGAACTGGCCGGCGATGGCTTGGGCATACAGCCAATAGCTTATTTGATAAACAATTTTTAAGGATTGAACGGATCTTAGTTGTTTAAAATAATTATTAGAACTTTTCTGTGTCCTATAGATCTACACGCAAAAATAACATGCTTGCCAACCATGCTGTCTGTTTCTCCGCCTTGATGATTACCTCATTATCAAAACATTCAGTCGCTTATTACATTTCGAGAAATTGTTTTTCAAAAAAATATATAAGAGTTCTAAATAAACCAGATGACCAATTACATCGTTAGTTGAAATTTTTGTGGTGGCTCCTAATAAAAGTCTCTCTAAGCTTTTTCCGTGGCTTAGCAGTGGCTCTCCGCATTTTTACCACGACACCTTATTGAATTTCCAGCTTTCATATAATATGTCTGCCGTCGATCTTCCCAGTACAGTGTCAAGGCCCATTCTGAAGTTTGTCACATACAGTTTTGCCATCATGCAAGCTCTTGAGGCACCATTAGCTTACCATAATGTGAAATATGTGCTCATTCAAATCAGGAAATTCCAAAATATTTCAATTTCCTGTTTAAATCAGACCTTCGCTAATTTTGCCTTGGCAAGTGAAAAATACGAGGTAACCCGGCATTTTTAGAAGTGGTGACCGGAAGGTGTGGTTAAAGTAATCAAGATCGTATTCAAAGTTGTAAGGAATCATTATCTAGCACTACAACATGACATCTGTATCGGAAAATTGGACATCTTCGTCAGGCATTTCGCGCCAGCTCTACATTTTCATCTTCTAGAAGTCGAGGGGATATCATGAAACACTTGTACTTGGATGAAAGCCATTTCAGAAAGACGTCCTAAGTCGAAAGACACGAGTGAGATTTATAGCTATGAAACAACTGCCACAAGTGGGTAAATTCTAGAAAAAATTAATTA